TTTTAAGTGGGAGAACTTGCACAATCGGTGGCTGACTAAATACTTTTTTGCCCCACTGTAAGTACTGTAGAGGAATCCCTATTTATTGCAAGATAAATGCAGAAAAGTATTTAGTCACCACCTAGCTAGAAATGCAACTTTTGTGTTTGCCTCCCTTGCCGGATTTTCTTAGGTAGTTTCAACTACAGTTTGACCATTGACTGTACCAGCCAGGCTGACTGAACATGTAATGAGAACCATTTGGAATCTTGGTCCTGATGAATCTTCCCTGCCAAAAAAATAGAAGAGTTTCCTGGCCAGGTCTGCCTCCTGGGGGTAGAAATTATCTCATTGCTAAGATGTGGGGCACTGCGTATGTTGGCACTATGAGAGACAGTTGTATCAGATGGGCTGTAACAAAGTCATCTCTTTGCCTGATTGTACTTATCTTTCCTCCTTTTGCCTTGATAATAGGACATGTCTAACAGTGATATAGCAGTTGGCTTGGTATTTCCCCTATGGGCAAGGTGCATGTCCTATCTGCCTGCTTCCCTGGCTTGCTGTGGTCGGCCAACTGTCTACCCCCACCCCAAAAAGATTGTCTCACAGGACAGACACAGTAACTCCCATATGATTGTGGAAGTAGATGCCTGTGTTGACACTAATTCAGCATAGCAGTCAGATTATGCTTGAAATACAGTTTGGAATACAACTTGTATGGAGGACATTATGATCAAGGCTGTTGTAAAATACCTGAATCTAAGAGCAGCACAAAGTTCTAGTAATTATTACTCACATGAGAAATGTTTAAATCTGAATAATTTTGGTGACTGTAGTAGGGAAATTTCCAGCTTCAGATTGAGATAGTGCAGGCCTCTACTTCTTGTTGAAATACATATATTGTGAAGGGTATTTGAACCTACTTTTCTTTTATGGGTGAAGACTTATAATGGTGAAATTATTTAGCAATATTCCATTTTTTTAATTACAATTTCAAGAGGAATCAGGAATCTCAGCAAAAATCAGAATAGTATGAAAATAGTATTATACAAGACTCACCTGAGTCCCTGAACCATAAAAGATCTCAGTCTAAATAAACACAACAAAATAGACACAGTCAAGGGCATTATTCATTTTCTGGACCCTCAGCATGATGCCTTGGTACATCTACCAAGCTCCTCATCCTGATTGTATTTTTTAAAAAAATCTTTTAGTTATAAACAGGAATAGTAAGCTAGCATACTGCAAAGCAAACTCCCTGCCTAAAGATGCCCAAAACATTCATAGGTGATCATAGACAGACTTTTGTCTGTCTTATGGTTTGTAGATATTTTGTGATTGACCATACTCACAGAGTAGCCCATAATATGCTTTCAGTATTCTAAATGTGTCCTCTGGTCAAGAAGTGTTGAGGTTTTCTGGCATATATGAGCCCCATTTCTGTCATATTTTCCAAAGGTACAAAAACAGGAATACTGATAACAATGGCCCTGAAGGAATTGGCACGAATAGCAGCATCAAAGCAAGGTAGCCCTGTGAGGCCTGCAATGTAAAAAAGGGGATCACTGCTGAAATAAAATAAAGGCAGTCCTCGGGTTAAGAACGAGTTCCATTCCCAAGTCTGTCTTTGTATGTAAGTTGGAACTCATACTTAACAAACAGGCTGCCTATTACTAAAAATGGCGGATGGCGTTCTCCTTCCTCGAGCTGATGAACTGCTGAAGCTGCACAATGTTTTCATGAACTGCTGAAAACCGCTGAAAACAGACTATGTTAAAAGCAAGTGCTTCAGCAGTTCATGAAAACATTGCACAGCTTCAGCGGTTCATCAGCTCGAGGAAGGAGAATGCCATCCGCCATTTTTAGTAATAGGCAACCCGTCTAAGTATGAGTTGTCCATAAGTCAGACGTTCTTAACCTGGGATCTGCCTGTGCTGTGTATACAGGAAACAAAGATGCAATCAACAGTTACATTATTTGGTGATCTGAGGCAAATAAAAATTATTTCTGGGCGCCCAAATGCTTGTACAAGTGGATGTACTGCTACTACATCTAGGTTAAAAATAAAGTAGGTGGGCTAATAAAAGTTGGTATGGGAAGTAATTTTTTTGAGAAAGCATTAAAACAAGACAAACAGAAGACAGTTGCAGCAGAAGACTAGCAGAGGACCAAAGGCAAACATTCACATACTGAGAGGATTCCAAATCCGTATTGAAAAGGAACCCCTTTTGCCTAATCTGCAATGGCTAAGGGGCAGAATAACATACTCATGGGTGCTGGGTAAAGATTCTGAACTGTTTCCTTAGGCAGACCACTGAAATAATTTAGGAATCATCTGTCACATAAAGTAGGACTCAGTAATGCATGTTTGCAGACACCATAGTACAACTAACTGCCTCAGATAGCATCCACAGGATCCAGTCCCCAAATTAAAAATTAATTTGAAAAAGCTGTTAAAATAGCTAACATTATGTAACCTTGACTCTCATAATTTTACTGTTTGCAGCTGAAATCTCATGATTTTACTGTTTGCAAGTTTTGAGATGATCTGCAATTTTAGCTAATTTCCTTTTAAAAAAATGTTTATTTTAATGCCTGCACTAGGGACACCTGCAATAGCTTCTTGGAGCACAGATCAGGACCTATTGCTGTAGAAGAATTTTAAAAAACCTGTGAAGACTTTAAGGTAGTTTACATTATACAGGAGAAGATGGTCTCGAGGCATCCTGGAGAGCCACTAGAAAACAAAATTAGAACTTTGAATTGGGCCCAGAAACCAATTAGGAATCATTTGTCTTAGAAACACTGTCATATTTCCCCCAGCTTGAGTCTTTTCCTCAATAACCATCTACTCAGTTTGTGAGCTGAAGGGAGATCATTGTTGATTATGAAGAAGGATCACATAATCTGAAGTACAATATGGTGGTGAAGATCCATTTTTAAGTATAGAGACGGGTGGAAGATACTGCTTTTCTTATTTGACAAGTTTTCAAATATGAATTTTGCTAACAGATTTTGATGAGAAAAAAATCAGGTATCTAGGATATATACAAATGATCAAAGATCACAAAACCAATCCTGGCAGTCAGAGATTAACTCTCCAAATTATGGTTTACATCAGTTCATTTATTTTTACCAATCTCTGTATGTTGGCTTACAAAAACTATTTTATTTTGCAGAAACAAATTTGGATTGAGAATGGTTACAGGAGGAAGATTCTGATGCACTAATGAATGGGCACCGCAACTAACTGGAATCTAAAGAGGTATTTTAAACATAACAAATAGGCAATACTTTTTGGAATTTGACTTTCTTCCTTTGAACTACAGAAAGCAAATTAGTTCATCTTGCAGATTCTTCACAGTTTTGAAGTCGTAGAAATATTCTGAATTCTGCACCATGTAAAAGAGTTACATAACCTACTTTACTAATTTGGAAGTTTGTTTTCAGTATTATAACTGTATATTGGATATTAGCATTTTAGAAATTCAAAATTTATATGAATATTTCAGATGTTACTATGACATCTTGGTAGGATAAACAACTGTCTTTATTACAGGATGAAAAGTTTGGGGGGGGAGAAGTAAATTATTTTTAGTGAAAAAGGAAAGCATCTGCCAGCTGCTGTTGTTCAAGTTGAGAGATTTGTACAACATATTGTAATTATGCCACACAGTATCTAAGAAGGTAGAAAAGATCCTGCTTTCTGCAGTTCGTATGCTATCTTATCCCTTGGGGCAAAGAACCTTCAGAATGATTAGATCCCAACCATTGCATGCAACGTGGATGAAAAATATTTGGCTTGATCTTAGCATTGTGGGCCACCCTATCATTAGCAGAATGGAAAATACATACAGTACATAAAAATAAGAGTCTTTCCCAGAAACACCTCAATCCTTTCCACTTTTTCATTTTCGTTCCTAACGTATGACTGGATTTTTCCCTCTCAATTATATTTTTGGCTTGTGCCAAAAGAAGAATTACACTTGGACACAGTTTAAAAAGAAAATGACTTTGAAGAAGATTGAATGTACCCTTGTCGTCTTCTTTTTGACAAGGAAAGGTTTCATAAGAATCCTATCAAGAAATATTCTTATCTCTCAGGAGAACACAAATTCAGGGAAAGCCCACAGAATTTATGTTGTCAAGACTTCAAGCAAAACGATGCTTGTTTGTCTACCTATATACTTCAGTAATGAATAGAGTTTGACTTGCATTAACATCAACTATAGAAGCTGCAGATGGCATACATCAGGTATATTTACCTCATTGTCTAATAGAAGGCAGGCTAAATAGAGTAAAGTATTTCTTAAAGAAAATAAGTTAAATATTGAAAAAAAGGTCCTGATGTTGTTGGTCCTTGTTCATGTATTTTAGTGAGGAAAAGGTACTTCTATTAGGACTGCATTCTCTCACCTTTACATAAGGACTCTATCAGTAAAAAAGTTGTAATAATTTCAGATGAATATCCAGCTTCTTCGATTTAATGAGGGTCTTCAATTATATTTGAAGAGACTGAACCAGTTTTGTCTTTCACAGAGGAGTCCTTGCTGCTGAGATGTGGAACAACCTCCAAAGTAATTATATTCCAGAATAACAGAGCTTTGTATCTTGTATTCAACACCTTGAAATACACTGAAAGCAAACTTAAGACACAACAGTACATAGCACAAGTATTATATAAATGTAATAAGGTGATATCTTTCAGTAATAGAGCAGTTTACTTTCACTTAATATAAGTGAGCTAAGAGTTGCTTCACTTCTGAGGGTATGTAGTAATGGAACTTAGCAAATATGAGAATACTTATATTAGTACAGTTGGGCCCTTTCCCACCATATTTGGTACAAGAATATAAAGCAAGACAACTTCACAAATACAGAAGGATTTCTGGTGGACAGCTAAGGAATGACAAAATTGCCATAAATATGAAATGGGACAATGTTTGGGAAAAGTGGCAAAAATGAAGCATAACAGAAAAACAACACATTAAAAGCATTCTTATACTAATTTGTTCCATAATAATAGCCTATGAGAGAAAAATCCTAGAATCTCTGGAGTTCAAAATAAGATTCTATAGACAAAGGCCCTTCAAAGCTGAGGCTCATTCCACATTGAAGCACACTAGTTCACACTTTCTACCATAATTTTGTCACAAGAATAATTTTATATATGATTCAGTTTAAAAAAGTTTACAATAGCATAAAAGAAACATGTGGACCAATTCTAGGCATTTTATTCTACAGTTTCACCTCATGTCTGTTTCTTTTTAATCTTTATCTTGCTCTGATTATCTTATTTAGATTTCATTTTATATTACTATTTATATTTGCTTTTAATATCATTATATTTTATAGTTTTATCATAAAATGCATGCAGTGTCCTTGCATAAAACAGACTGGGTTACATAATACCAAAAGATAACTTTGGATTATATCTGCTCTAAGCCAAAGTTTTTTTAAAAAAATATAGAAATAGGCATTAACCTGGCAAACAACACTGACTGCAGTTTGAAGATAATATTCTGTCTTTTAACAACTTCTGGGGATCTAGGAATCTTTGCCACAGAAAGTTAAATGCCTCAAAGGGAAAACCTGTCCTCATTTAGCTGACTTAAATCAATACCTCTTGACAACTGGCTAAGTCCCACATATATACTAGGTTAGCTTTGTACAGAATAATTGAAATATATGTCACCATTCTTGCTTTAAAGAAACAAAATTTACCAGCATCAGTTTTAACTTTACTAAATATTAACTTGTCAAAGAGGAGACACTCCATGTTTTATGCCACAGATACTTTTCTATAAATTCCATGAGTTTCTTGCACAATTTTTATTGAAAATCCTTTCCATAAAAGACCCCTATGCAGGATACATTTATAATATACCAGGTAGATAGTCAAACACTAAAGAATGTAATCCCTGAAAGCAAGCAAGACAAGTAAAAAACAAACCAAACACAAACCTGTCCTATCAAAAAGAAAACCCCATCCTGAAAGGTGGAAACAGTTCATACAGGCACTTGTCATCGATGGATACTATTTATTAAGCAGTATCCACCAATGGCAAGTGCCTGTATAAAGTGCAATTAGGGTCATAGATTGCAGTTGTTATAAGACCACAGGTGAAGATGCATGCAGAGATGCATAAGTTCAGCTCTGGCCTATTCTTACTGACTCAGGTGTTGGAGAGCCATTTTGGGGATACCAGTAGATAGACAGTTGTAGTATGCTAGAAGAGAACACTCTTAAAAGCAGTGTTAAGACACCTATATAATCAGCAGACCTTTACTCTAAAATTCAACTTTCCTAATCTTTGATGCGAGGCAAGTATCTTTGAAGCCAAGCAGAAAATGGTTATAAAACTGGAACAACAAAGTAAAAGCTCTGATGTATCTGGTCACTTATTAAGAGCACCTCCTCAAGAGTCAGCTCTCTGTACTACCAGAAAGAAAAGAGAAATTCAAATTGTCCAGAAATGAGAGTGCTTGCTGTGCCAATTTTCAGGAAATGGATGATCAGAGCAATAAGTTAACTCCCACTGTTCTCAGTCTTCAGGAAATATGGCACAAGATTTTTCTGTCTCAGCTAAATGTTCATAAACAGTCAGTGCAAGAGGGCCCAAGTTTCACTCAAGAAATAACATGGCAGAAATACAGATCTATAATCAGGAAGACACATTTGTCACAAACCCAGATATGAAAAGAGCTCTGATGTGTTTGTCTGCACAGATGTAACATTTAGGACTCCTACTGCCTTACTGGCCACAAGAATCCAAATCTTTTCACAGATTTTTCAAATAACCCATTTAGCTGCAATTTTCTGCATTCTTAAATTCCTCTGCTTGATTTACATACAGTCCATCGAATTTTCAGGTTGCAAGCCCACAGAAGGGATCAATCCTTTGATGTAGGCACAGCTAGAAGATAGGAAACTGTCAGGCTCTGGGTCTACATTTTCAATATTGTCCATCTGGTCTTTAGGACCATCCCAATTGATGTGGAAACGGGTGACTCGGGGGTTGGAGGCCAAGATATTCCTTTGTAACTAGAAAAACAGCAGAAAAATAATCAGCGTTATTTTATAATAATATAAAGTAGAAGCTGATTCTGTGAATAATTCTTACTACTCTTATCTACAGTATTCCATCAAAGTAACCCCTGTGCAAGAGACCCACATACTTTGCACACTGGTTCAGCTCTTACTGTTTTGAATGCTGAACTCCATCCCATCAAGCCAATTTGCTTTAAATATCTTTGTCAGAGTATGTCCTTTCCTCACTAAAATTATCAAATTCCTCTAACTTGTTAAGAGGATCACTAAACACTTGATACAAACTCTGAGATTTAAAGCTTTCTCATAGTATTCTGCAACAAGCAAAATAATTTAATCACACTGCATATCCAAAAAGCAACTGTAACCAGCTATTATCACCCTTTCATCTTACAAAATTTTATCTGCTTTAGATCCAAGAAAATCAAGCTCCGTTCTGCATCATAAGGACTATATATTTTTCTTCATCCAATTCAAGGCATAGTGCCTTGTCTAGGAAGCATATAGTAAACTGATACTGAGCTGAAATCACTGAAATTGTTTCTGACTGAATTCTGGGATCCTAATTTGTATAATGACTTCTCTATAACTGTATAATATTCACCAATACTAATAATAGCTGATCTCAAGAACTACTAACCAGCTATATCTGCTATTT